GCAGCCTTACTGCTGACTCTTTTGTGTCTGAAGTTCTTGCAGACTTCTCCTAGATTGTTCAGGTTGCTGAGGTGTGCAGCCTGACAGGCATCAAAATATATAGAAACCGGTCCTTTATGTGAATAAGGGAATACCTGTGTTTTGCTTGTGAGTTTCCTAGTTCTAACATCTTTAGGATTGGCATATGAGGGTTACAAAGGTTTCCTTATTTGAATTTCATACCAGAAGTTATAGGGTAGGAGGCTGGGTCATAATAGGCTTCAGCTTGCCTATTTCCTGGGTCACAGACAGAGAAAGCCGGTTTGATTATAAACACATGTCCTCAGGGGAGCTTCTCTACACTCATAATAAGTTGATATAACAGAGTCTTAGTTATATTTTCCCTAGACTAAGCTTCTATCATGCAGTGATGGCAACTATCTTGGTTTCCTTGGATAGCTGTTCGCATTTTTACTGCTAGTACAATCAGGTTTAGACTATGCACAGGCATCCTCTTGGGCAGCAGGTTTGACAGCAATTGCAAAGGTAACATGACAGTAAGACAATTATTACAAGCAAAAGAATAACTACACTGGCAAATTCTATCCACATGTACTTATCTGGCACCATCTTCCTCAGACTTTGGCCATGCATAGACTAGTCAGCTTCTGGTTATGTGACTAGGGCACGGCTTGGTGTTTCCTCAAACTTCAGCCATACGTGGACCGAGCAGCCTCCGGTATGGTCGGAGCAGGGCAGTCATCCTTTTCTGACGCACCTTGGTCTTTCTGCAAGATCAGTCAAGTTGGATTTTCTGCATCTTGCTGACTTGTCCATTTGTCTTGGACTGAGGCTGCAGGTTTCAGGCAGCTGTGACGGATCCAAGGTGTAATAATACCTGCAACTTTAACAGCTGTAGGAGGAGAATTGATCACAATATGGGTGCCATTTCATAAGGGCCCGAGGGCGGTAGGATTCCAGCGTTTAACTTATACGGAGTCCCTAGGTTGAAAGGGATGTATTGTATCTGTAAGGCTAACAGGTATTTTTTCTTTTACCCACCTTTGTACTTCTTGCATTACCTCACCTAATGCTTGCATTTGTGTTTAGGATCAATTCTCCAATTTCCTTTAAATTTCCTTTTACCTAAGATAAAAGTGGGGGTGGTCGGCCATATACTATTTCATAGGGTGAATACCTGGTTACTTTAGTAGGGGTACACCTGACTCGGAGAAGGACCATGGACAATACCTGATGCTACCATAAATGAGTCTCTTGGCAAAACTTCTTCAACAGTTGTTTCAGCGTCCGATACGTCTTTTCAACTTTTCCAGAACTTTGTGGGTGATAGACTGTATGCAGTTTCTATTTAATCTTTAACATATGTGTTAGTTGCTGTATTACTTCTGCCACAAAAGCTGGTCCTTTGTCCGAGTCTAAAGTTAGAGGCAGTCCAAATCTAGGAATAATGTTTTTAAATAATATCCTGGTTACTTCTCGTGCCTTTTCTGTCCTGGTGGGGAATGCCTCCACCTACCCTGAAAAGGTGCAGACAAACACTAACACATACCCATAGCCTCCAGCCTGAGGCAATTCGGTCAAGTCTACAAATAGGTTTTCACGTGGCACTGCTCCTGTTTTCTGAATTCCTGGGGGCCCGAGTAGGCCCTTGCCTTAGGTTATTCTGGGTATAAGTAACACACCGCTCGCAGCCAGCTCGAGGCACTTAGGCGTGGCAGACAGAAATACCGCCCTCCGAGAATTTGTAACGTTGTCTTCCCCATGTGTGTTCCTTGGTGAAACTGCTTTATAAATGGGGGACAATGGCTTCTGGAATGGCAGGCCTCCTATCTGAAAACTTCCACCAGCCTCCTTTTTGATGACTCCCGTTTTCCTGCGTGAACCACGCTTTCTCATTGGATGAGTAGTTAGGAGTCTCTGCAAGGGGAGGTTCTAATATGGGCATAGCATAAATCTCTTCCTTCTTTGTTATTTGTGCCCTTCCAGCCCTTTTTGCTTCCTTGTCTGCTTTTCTGTTTCCTGTAGCCTCATCACTTTCTCCTGTTTGATGTCCCTTACAGTGGATGATTGCTACTTCCTTTGGCGCCTATACAGCCTCTAGGAGCGGCTCTATTTCCTTTTTGTTCTTTATTTCTTTTTCTTCAGTAGTTAACAGTCCTCTTTCTTTGCAAATGGCTTCATGAGCATGCAAGGTGGCAAAAGCATATCCTGAGTCAGTATAGATATTCACTGACTTTCCCTTTGCTAGAAGTAGCACTGTTGTGAGAGTTGTTAGTTCTGCCTTCTGCGCTGAGGTTCCTACCGGTAGGGGGCGGGCCTTGGCCACTGAGCTGAATGTGACTGCTGCCTATCCCGCCTTTCTGATACCTTAGGATATGAAACTACTTCCATCAGTGAAATACTCTATGTCCAGGTCCTTTAGGGGCTGCTCTTTTAGGTCTTGCCAGCTTGAAAGTACTTCATCTATTGTTTCTACATGACAATGATACTGTGGGGCACTCTACAGGGGCTTCCCGTGCTCTGCATATTCTATGGGCAGCAGTGTGGCTGGATTTAGGGTGTTCGCAGTCTCTAAGATGATGTGTGGATTTTCACATAGGAGCCCTTGGTATCTCAGCATTCTAGGGTTAGAGAGCCAATGGTGTTCTCTCTGTTCCATCAAGGTGACAACTGTATGGGGCACCCGAATTATTAACTTCTGTCCAAAAGTGAGCTTGTTAGCATTCTCAGCTAACAGAGCAGTGGCAGCCAACGCCTTGAAACAGGGCAGCCATCCTGCGGCCACCAAGTCCAGTTGTTGGGACAGATATGTTGCAGGTCGCTACCATGACACTAGCATTTGCACCAAGACTCCTGTGGCCATCCTCTTTGTTTCATGAACATACAGGTCAAAGGGCTTTGTCATGTCTGGCAGCCCTAGTGCTGGCGCCTGGATTAAGGCCTTCTTGCTGTTCTTGAAAGCCATATCCTGTTCTTTTTCCCAGAGGAGGAGCTCCTTTTCCCCTGCTTTCGATGCCGCATATAAAGGTTTTGCTAGGAGCCAGTACTTGGGGATCCACATGCGGCAGAAACCAGCAGACCATAGGAATTCCTGGACTTGCCGCCCTGTGTCTGGCAGAGGAATGCTACAGACAGTCTCTTTTCCTCCTGTCTAAGCTCATGCGGCCTTGGGAGATGTAAAAGCCAAGATACCAGACTCCTTGGCTACACATCTGTGCCTTTTCCTTAGATACTCTATAGCCAGCTTTCCACAGCCCTCGAAGGAGGCTCTTCATTCCTTGGATACCTTCTTTTCTGATGGGTGTGGATAGCAATGAATTATCTACGAACTGCATTAAGACACATCTGTCACTAGGTGGCGTGAAAGCCTTTAAGTCTGAGGCTAGTGCTTCTTCAAAGATAGTTGGGGAGTTTTTAAATCCTTAGGGAAGTCTTAGTCCAGGTATACTGAGATGGGCCTCACTCAAAGGCAAATGTCTCGGCTTACAGGGGCTAATCTGATGCAGAAGAATGCATCTTTAATGTCCAAGCATGTGAAGCAAGCAGCACTAGCAGGTATTTGTCCCACCAGCAGCACTAGCAGGAATTTGTTTTATTGTTTGGTTTTTTTTTTTTCCTCATGCGCTTGAACCCGGCAGGCAAAGGTTGCAGTTAACTGAGATTGCACGCCTGCACTCCAGCCTAGGCAACAGAGCGAGACTCTGTCTCAAAACAAAACAAAATGGACAAAAAGAGCAGGACCAAGAAAGTACAACTTTAATGCATTTGCAGCCAGTTCTTAGAACAGGACAAGGTGATTAACAGATGCTAATTCTCATGGCTTTTGTGTTTCACAAAATAATAAACTGAAGATTGCATTTTGAATTATTTCTTAAAATGACAAACATTTACACAATGCAGAAGGAAATGATGAATTCTTAAAGTATAATTGACAAGTAATACAAAGAAGACAGGCTAGTAAGTATAAATTTTCACTTTGTGGACTTCCTTGTCATCACATTCCCTCTGTTTGTTGTAGTAATAGAACGTATTGTCCCTTCTCTGAAGTTTCTTCACATATCCTGTCTCTGGCCAACGATCTACCTGCACACCAAGAACCAGAGTACAAATGTTACAGTGCAGGGCTGATTTTTATCTCATATTTTACTGTCAAATAGTTAAAAAGTATGACTTACACCAACAAAGTATAAGATTAGATTTTAAAATGCTTCAGCTTTTAAAGTATTATACTCACAAGACACATCTTACATTGCAGCCTTATGCTTTAAGATAACTAATTCAGGCCCAGTGCAGTAGCTCATGCCTGTAATCCCACCACTTTGGGAGGCTGAGGCAGGTAGATCAGTTGAGGTCAGGAGTTCAAGACCAATCTGGCCAACATGGTGAAACCCTGTCTCTACTAAAAATACAAAAATTAGCCAGGCATGTTGGTAGGTGCCTACAATCCCAGCTACTCAGGGGGCTGAGGCAGGAGAATCGTTTGGACTCTCGAGGCAGAGGTTGCAGTGACCCTAGATGGTGCCACTGCACTCCAGCCTGGGCGACCCTGTCTCAAAAAACAACAACAAAAAAAGATGACTAATCCAGTGCTTTTCTCTAGAGCCCAATTTCTAGGTTTATTTCATTTTACTTTATTTTGGAGACAGAGTCTTGCTACATTGCCCAGGCTGGCCTTGAACTGCTGGAGTCAAGTGATCCTCCAAGCTCGGCCTCCCAAGTGCTGGAATTACAGGCCTGAGCCACTGCACCCAGCTTCAATTTATAGATTTAAATTTCAATACTGTGGCCAAGATAAGAGAAAACATTCAAAGTAATTGAAAGTTCATTTATCTTATGTTTACAGAAGATTTCAAACATTCTAACTTCTAAAATTAATACCACAGGAAGAAATTAGGGGTAAGCCCAGGCTCCATTTTGAAAGCAGTGCCTGCTGATTGTTGATGACTACACAGTGAATAAAGCAAGCAAGTCAAGAACTATCCAAAGTTGTGTATGCATTTCCTTCTGCCCCAATTTCAAGTTCACCTTGAAATCCATTTTTTTTTTTTTTTTTGAAACAGGGTCTCACTCTTGTCTCCCAGGCTGGAGTGCAGTGGTGCAATCATAGCTAACTACAGCCTCAACCTCCTGGACTCAGGGGATCCTCCAGCCTCTGCCTCCTGAGTAGTTAGAACTACAGCTTTGCACTATTATGCCCAGATAAGTTTTCTATTTTTTTTTTTTTTTGTAGAGACAGGGTGTCACTATGTTGCCCAGGCTGGTCTCAAACTCCTAGCCTCAAGCAATCCTCCCACCTTGGCCTCCCAAAGTGTCAAAAATCTTTTTAAATTTCTCCTACCATTCTTTACTATTATTATTATTATTATTATATGTTGCCCAGGTTGGTCTCAAACTCCTGGGCTCAAGTGATCCTCCTGTCTCAGCTTTCCAAAATGTTGGGATTACAGGTGTGAGCCACTGTCCCCAGCCATCTCCTACCATTCCTTCTTGTATACCATATTGGTTTGCGTACTCTATCATTTGGCTTGATCTAATTTGGAGATCTGTCTCCCCACTTCCTCTTCAATGTCATCCTTTCCTGGGGAGGTTAATGTATTTTGCTACTGTCAAATATGTTCCTTTCAGATTTCGTGAGATGCACTTGATCATGACCAAAACCTCATTATCTGGGTTGTAGAAAACCAAATCCCCCTCTTCAACACCATCTATACAGGCAGCCCTGCACCTTCACTCCAAATCCCGCTCTTCAACACCGTCTGTGCAGGCAGCCCTGCACCTTCACTCCAAATCCCACTCTTCAATACCATCTATACAGGCAGCCCTGCACCTTTTCTGTTCCCCATGAATAAATCTCAGCTTTCAGTAGGAAGAGGAGATGAATATACCATCTGTGTCCACAAGTCTTTTATTGTCTAATAACACATCTTCATGTTTTGAGTCATCTCATTTACTTATGAATTAGCGAGAATAGGTAACAGCGTATCTGAGAAGCCTTGGCAGGCCCTCTGACATACATTACAGAACACCAGCAGTCCTTTTCACCACTGAGGCCAGGCCTGCCTGTGTGGCTTCCAATACCTTTGGCAGGGAAAGGAGGTGTTCTCAAGACTCCATTACAGCCCTCTTCCCCCCGGTGCCAGGAGCAGATTCTCTGAAAACCGTCTGATCCAGTGAGAAAACAATACAACCACTGCCTCTTCTGAACATCTGGAGCTAAGCTACTTTATATGAGATAATCCTTAGGACAGCTAGGTTGGTCCTATGCTTGTTGACTTCTAGACATTTTTCCTTTTGATGCCCCTTGGCATCTCTGAACTTTTTTTTCTTCTTGTCTTTCAACTTGATCATTTTCATTTGATCTGGGAAACCTTCTTGCCTGTGGTGAAATGGAATGAGATCCTCAAGTTCAAGGACTTTCTCCTCAAGAGGGCAGGTCAGCAAGCACTTTACCACCAGGTAACAAAAAACTTCTCTCAAACCCTCAAACCACTGCACACTAGGAGAAACATCCCACCCAAAGCAAGCCTTCAGCCACCATCCTATCGATCCCTAAAGACCCACTGCAAATGTCTCTGGGGACATGAAGCCCTCTCTGAGGATTGTCCCTGAAAGGAAGTGATTTTGTTTTCCTCTAAACCCCTGTGCTTCTTTTTGTTAAGGCACATATACTTTGATTTGTGTAAGGTTTTATTGTTCTTGTTACTTATTTTAGACTCTAAGATGATGAGATTAGTAAAAGTTATAATTTACTAACACTTGTTCCTTCAGTCAACAATTTTTTTGTGGGGGAGTCTCACTCTGTCGCCCAGGCTGGAGTGCGGTGGCATGATCTCAGCTTACTGCAACCTCCGCCTCCCAGGTTCAAGTGATTCTCCTGTCTCAGCCTCCCTAGTAGCTGGGATTATAGGTGTGCACCACTATGTCCGGCTAATTTTTTGTATTTTTTAGTAGAGACAGGGTTTCATCATGTTGGCCAGGCTGGTCTCTAACTCCTGACTGCAGGTGATCTGCCCGCCTCCACCTCCCAAAGTGCTGGGATTACAGGCGTGAGCCACTGTGCCCGGCCCAACAAATTATGAGCACTATAATGTCAGGCACTTCAAACATGTGATTACATTTAATTCTTGTGACAATTTTCTTTTCTTTTTTTTTTTTTTTTTTGAGACAGGGTCCTGCTCTCTCACCCAGGCTGGTGTGCAGTGATGTGATCACAGCTCACTGCAGCCTCCATCTCCTGCACTCAAGCAGTCCTCCTGCCTGAGCCTCCCAGTAGCTGGGACTACAGAGACACTCCACCATGCCTGGCTAATTAAAAAAATTTTTTGTAGAGATGGGGTCTGAGTTGCCCAGGTTGGTCTCGAAATCCTGGCCTCAAGCAGTCCTTCAGCCTCAGCCTCCCAAAGCACTGGGCTTAGAGGCGTAAGCCACCAAACCTGGCCACCTATGAGTCTGAGGCCTGTATATCTTTAGGGGCATCCCAATCTTAAGGCAGGGTATGAAGCTTATTTATTTATTTATTTATTTATTGAGATGGAGTTTCACTCTTGTTGCCCAGGCTGGAGTGCAATGGTGTGATCTCAGCTCACTACAACCTCCACCTCCTGGTTTCAAGCAATTCTCCTGCCTCAGCCTCCCGAGTAGCTAGGATTACAGGCATGCACCACCATGCCTCGCTAATTTTGTATTTTTAGTAGAGATAGGGTTTCTCCATGTTGGTCAAGTTGGTCTAAAACTCCCAACCCCAGATGATCCACCTGCCTCGGCCTCCCAAAGTGCTGGGATTACAGGTGTGAGCCACCATGCCCGGCCCAAAGCTTATTTTAAATAGCATAACAATGATAATGCTTCTGTTTTATCTATTTAAAGGCCTTAGATGATACAGTAATGAAAATTATCGTTGGCAATGGGGATAGAGTATAATGGTTGAGAAGACAGATATATGGAAGGCACAGTAATCAATCTTCACTTGATTAGTATTTTGAATGTTATTGTTAACCCCAATAATGTCTGCTAAATTAATGTCTATTAAAGAGGCAATAACATTTTAATTCTGTATTGCCTCCATTATTTTTCCTATGTACTTTTAAATTTTTAATTAAATTAATTAATTTATTTATTTGAGATGGAATCTCGCTTTGTTGCCCAGGCTGGAGTGCAATGGTGTGATCTTGGCTCACTGCAACCTCCACCTCCCAGGCTGAAGTGATTCTCCTGCCTCAGCCTCCTGAGTAGCTGGGACTACAGGTGCCTGCCACCATGCCCAGCTAATTTTTGCATTTTTAGTAGAGATGGGGTTTTACCATGTTGACTAGGCTGGTCTCGAACTCCTGACCTCAAGTGATCTGCCTACCTCAGCCTCCCAAAGTGCTGGGATTTCAGGTGTGAGTCACCATTCCCAGCTTCCTATGTACTTTTAAAGGAATTTTTAAGTACAGGTCAAAGAATAGAATAAAAGAAAAAGAAACAAGAGCTTATAGTGATTTGCAAAACCTACACATTAGTCTCTGAAAAATGACAAGTTAGTAAAAAATAATGAAAAATAAACTAAGTTAATAAACACTGTTATAATCCCAAATCTAAAAATTAAAATATATTTATTAATACTATGTCATATTTTACAATACAGTTGACCCTTGACCAACGCAAGTTTGAACTTGGGGAGTCCATTTATACATGGATTTTTTCAAAAAATATGTTGAAATTTTTTTTGAGATTTGCAATGATTAGAAAAATTTTGCAAACCACACAGACTAGAAATATAAAAAATAAATTAAGAAAAAGGTTTGTCATTAATGCATAAAATATATTAAGATATTAGCGTATTTCTGGGTTGATCAATTGTTTACCATATGGGCAAGTCCTTCTGTTAACACTAGGTTACTAGTAGTTGTTTTGGGGAGTCAAAACTTATACACACATTTTTGACAGCATGAAGCACTGAACCCCCTAGTCCCTGTGTTGTTCAGGGGTGAACTGAATTTGTAAACAACATGTCTCTTAAGAGTCACTTGAACCCGGGAGGCGGAGGTTGCAGTGAGCCGAGATTGCGCCAGTGCACTCCAGCCTGGGAGAAAAAAAAAAAGTGTCTTAGTAGTCAACAGAATAAATAAGAAGAACCACACAGTATAAACGGGAGCCAAATCTAGACTTTGGTCTAGCCTTCGTAAAGGAAGGCTAGATCTCTACTCTCTCAGAAAAGTCTGGGATATACTACCAAAGTCACCAGTTGTTTCAACACTTTTGTTTATAAGGTATAATCGCCACAAACAAACAAACAAAAAAGCAATTTTAATCTCTTTCTAATTCATGGTTAAAATAAAAAGTAAAAGGAGGGAAATAATAGTTATCCCACAAACTGATTATCTGATAATAAAATCACCTGAGTGAGGAAAAAAGATTCTTTTTTTGTGGTCTACCATAAAAGATTCATTTAGCAGAGCACAGTTGCTCAATAAAACATAGAAAATTCTGAATGTGCCCAGCTGAATGACCACCTCTTCCCTCACTCTGCCTGCAAATCATTCTTCTGGGCCTCTCCCCCTCAATAAGATGAGAAAGTCTGGCTGGGTGTCATGGCTATTGCCTGTAATCTCAGCACTCTGGGAGGCTGAAGCACGTGGATCACTTGAAGTCAGGAGTTCAAGACTAGCCTGGCCAACATGGCAAAATCCTGTCTCTACAAAAATACAAAAATTAGCCAGGCATGATGGTGCACACCTGTGATCCCAGCTACTTGGCTGAGGCAGGAGAATCCCTTGAACCTCAGAGGTGGAGTGAGCGGAGATTGCGTCACTGCACTCCAGCCTGGGTGAGAGAATGAGACTCTGTCTCAAAAAATAGAATAAAATAAAATAAAATAAAATAAAAATAAATAAAATGAGATAGTTGGAGTAGAATTCCCTTCAGTTATTCTCTGGTTGTTCATAAAATACTTTTCAGCATCTGAGAAACGCACTTCTAGTTGAGGTTTGTAGAGGCATAAATCTTACCACAGAAACTTGTTTCACTTGTTTATATTCGGTTTCATCCCGATATCCCGCTTGTTGAAATCTGTACAGATTTTCTATCTCTTCTGACCATTTTTTGGCATGACTTATTGATTTTGGTTTTACGTCAGAACTAGCCATGGTTACAGAGGCCTTATTACCAAGAATATCTGAAAGATGTTAAAACAACATTAATAGATAATGTAATAATGACAATTTTGAAATTCCCTTTAAGAATAAACAAAACTACCACTTAAAAATTATACTTAGAGTTGAGAATCCCATTAAATATATTAGTTTTTAAACACACAATTCCAAGATTAAGAAGGATTCATGTTCTATTTTGTGGGGATAAAACTGTAACAAACAAACAAAAAATCCCAAGTACCTGAAAGATACATAAAAGTCTATTTATTTCTTTATCAATAAAATCACAGTCAGAGTTGGAGTAACGGAGTGATGTTTTAAAAAGTGTATACAAATACTGGAGTTCCAGGTAATAGTTTGCACATTTCTGAAAACATGCTCAATAGATTGTCAAAATATCCACCACCATTCCATTTACCTATGTTCAAAACTGCATCTCTCTCTCTCTCTCTCTCTCAATACGATAATGTAAGATCCATCTTCTCACTCTCTTCCCTTTCTTGTTTCGGGGAGGGAATGGTTTATTCTTTTTTTTTTTTTTTGAGATGGAGTTTCGCTCTTGTTGACCAAGCTGGAGTGCAATGGTACGATCTTGGTTTACCACAACCTCCGCCTCCCAGGTTCAAGCGATTCTCCTGCCTCAGCCTCCCAAGTAGCTAGGACTACAGGCATCCGCCACCGTGCCCGGGTAATTTTTTGTATTTTTAGTAAAGACGGGGTTTCACCGTGTTAGCCAGGTTGGTCTCGATCTCCTGACCTTGTGACCTGCTCTGCCTCGGCCTCCCAAAGTGCTTGGATTACAGGCGTGAGCCACCGAGCCCAGCCATACCTGATTTTTTGATGAACCAATGTGAGAAGATGGACTAACACAGATTCCATGCACACCGTGTGGCTGTCGTGGTACTGAGATCATGGATTTAAAAACAGTGTAGGAGGTCACTAATAGTCTTGGAAAGTCAGATATATGGTTTTAGTTCATGTAATCATCTATTCACCAAATTTCCATAACAAGTTTTTCAAAGGCATAATCTTGTACTTGTTTTCTCAGCTACTTATTTTATTAACAAAATATATCAGTCATTTAACTGAAATAAAGTGTCCAGAATTTTCACTATGATTCCTTGAATCCATTCTTCTATTAAAATATATTTCTATTGGCTGAAACACATTAAAGTCAGATCCTGTAAATAAATTAATATTTTTTGAATTTTTTTCAGTCACAATGACAAATGCTCATTATGTTAAAAAGGTCAAGAAATACATTAAAGTATAACAAGGAAAGGCTGGACATGGTGGCTCAGGCCTGTAATCCTAGCACTTTGGGAGACTGAGGTCAGGAGACCTGAGGTCAGGAGTTCAAGACTAGCCTGGCCAACATGGTGAAACTCCATCTCTACTAAAAATGCAAAATTAGCCAGGCGTGGTGGCACATGCCTGTAATCTCAGCTACTTGGGAGGCTGAGTCAGGAGAATCACTTGAACCTGGGAGGTGGAGGTTGCAGTGAGCTGAGATCATACCATTGCACTCCAGCCTGGGCAACATGAGCGAAACTCCTTCTCAAAAAAGAAAAAAAAAATTAACTGGGCGTGGTGGAAGCTGCCTGCAATCCTTGCTACTTGGGAGGCTAAGGTTTGAGAATTGCTTGAAACCCAGGAGGTGGAGGTTGCAGGGAGCCAATACTGCTCCATTGCACTCCAGCCTGGGTAACAGACTGAGACTCTGGCTCAAAAAAACAAAAACAAAAACATATATATATATAAAGGAAAAGTCAAAATAAGCATCACATCAGTTAGAAATATCCATCCTTCATACTGGGCAAAAATCATGCTAAATCTATGATTAATTAACATAGACTTAAAAGTTTTATTTAAAAGGATCTTAAATGCTTTTACAGGACATAAATTTAGCTTTACTTGGGTTTAATAGGGAGAAATAGGAAATGGAAATAAAATGGACAGACTTGCTGAATTTCAGACATATATTTCTTCAGTATGAAAGATGTAGCCTAAATGTTCCCTTAGTGGTTAGTAAAAAAAGATAATGAAGACTGTTAGGAGGCTAAGTCACAAGTACCAATGGACTCTTTTCTATGAAAAACAAGAAAGTTGGTCTAATGCTCTTCCTATTTAGATTTGTGTTGAATTACTTAACATTGTAAAGATTATAGTGTTTACGTTGTATTTTTTTTTTTTTTGAGACATAGTCTTGCTTTGTCACCAGGCTATAGTGCAGTGGCGTGAACTCTGTTCACTGCATCCTTCGCCTCCCAGGTTCAAGTGATTCTCCTGCCTTAGCCTCCTGAGTAGCTGGGACTACAGGCACGCACCACCATGCCCAGCTGATTTTTGTATTTTTAGTAGATGAGGTTTCACCCTTTTGGCCAGGATGGTCTCGATCTCTTGACCTCGTGATCCACCCACCTCGGCCTCCCAAAATGCTGGGATTACAGGCATGAGCCACCGCGCTGGGCCCACTGCATTCTGAAATCATAATTCCCAGAGTTGTTTGAACTTAGCTCCAGATTTAAATGAATCTAAATGAAGGCATGAGTCACACAGTTCTTACCCTGATAAAAGAAATTATTTCAGTAGCATTAGTATTGCTGTTTGCATTTTTTCCAATGTGCATACCAACATGTACATTGATCAGATCAAAGAAAATCAGAGTTTTGTCAGTATGTTGACTTCTTAAAAACTTTTGATCTTTAGTTATTGACTTAGGCTCAGACCCATGTTGCATTTTAAGGCAATTCTTTTTTTCTTTTTGAAATGGAGTCTCACTGCATTGCCCAGGCTGGAGTGCAGTGGTGTCAGTTTGGCTCACTGTGGCCTCCTGAGTTCAAGCGATTCTCCTGCCTCAGCCTCCTGAGTAGCTGGGACTACAGATGCGTACCACCCCACCCAGCTAATTTATATATATATATTTTTTTCTTTTTTCTTTTTCTTTTCTTTTTTTTTTTTCTTTTGAGACGTTATCTCGCTGTGTTGCCCAGGCTGGAGTGCAGTGGTGTGATTTTGGCTCACTGCAAGTTCCACCTCCCGGGTTCACACCATTCTCCTGCCTCAGCCTCCCGAGTAGCTGGAACTACAGGTGCCCACTACCATGCCTGGCTAATTTTTTGTATTTTTAGTAGAGATGGGGTTTCACCGTGTTAACCAGGATGGTCTTGATCTCCTGACTTCGTGATCCGCCCACCTTGGCCTCCCAAAGTGCTGGGATTACAGGCATGAGCCATCACGCCCGGCCACATTTTTATATTTTTAGTAGAGATGCATTTCACCATGTTTTGCAGGCTGGTCTCGAACTCCTGGCTTCAAATGATTCGTGTACCTCGGCCTCCCACAGTGTTGCGATTACAGGCGTAAGCCACCGCACACGGTCCAGTTTTATAGTATTATACGAATTTATGTAAAATTTGGAACACCTGGCAAAACAATAAATAAGCCATGCTTCAGTGAAACCTTTGTCCTTTAATGCCATTCATTCTAGTGGGAAGTTCGCTACTCCACTGTTGCACAATACACTAGCAATATACCAGCTATGACAAAGAGGTGAGTTGGACATGTGATACAGCCCAAGAATCCATTCATATATATAATATGATATATTACACAGCAATATAGATATGTTACACAGGAGAAAGGTTCTAAGAAATATTAAAGAAAAAAGTTAGGCCAGGCGTGGTGGCTCACCCCTGTAATCCTAGCGCTTTGGGAGGCTGAGGCGGGTGCATCACCTGAGGTCAGAAGTTTGAGACCACCTCGACCAACATGGAGAAACCCCATCTCTACGAAAAATACAAAATTAGCTGGGTGTGGTAGCGCATGCCTGTAATCCCAGCTAATCAGGAGACTGAGGTAGGAGAATTGCTTGAACCTGGGAGGCAGAGGTTGCAGAGAGCCCAGATTGTGCCATTGCACTCCAGCCTGGGCAACAAAAGTGAAACTCTGTCTAAAAAAAAAAAAAGTTAGTGAACTCACTGTATTAAAATACTTTCAGGACAGGAATGGACTGGCTCACGCCTGTAATCCCAGCACTCTGGGAGGCCGAGGTGGGTGGATCACAAGGTCAGGAGATCAAGACCAGCCTGGCCAATATGGTGAAACCCTGTGTCTACTAAAAATAATTAGCTGGGCATGGTAGGTAGCGGGCATCTGTAGTACCAGCTACAGGGGAGGCTGAGGCAGAAAACTGCTTGAACCCAGGAGGTGGAGGTTGCAGTGAGCCGAGATGGTGCCACTGCACTCCAGCCTGGGTGACAGAGCGAGACTCTGTCTGAAAAACAAATAAATAAATAAATAAAAACAAAAACCCTTTCAAAATTAGTCATATTTTTGTATGAATTTAGTGACTGTATTACTTACAGGACTTTTAGAGATGAAGCACATGCAGTGATACAATCTGAATCTTTGTCTTATCCAAGCCCTCTTTGCTTTAGGCTTGACTTTTTGCTCATATTCATTCAAAACATATTTTCTTGAATGCCATCTATGTAACCTTTTGTCACTTTCAGCTCAGAAAATTACAGCAACTATACATAAAAATGCTACATTTAATAGATGAGCAGAAAATATGCTGTATTCAATTGGACTTTGGAGAAAATCACCACTTTTCTCAGTAGAAATAGACATCTTCCAGTTATTATTAAGCATTTCAAAATTTTATTTTCCCAAAATACTTAAAGAGAATATGAATGTAAATTTCACCATAATAGGAACTCTAGTGACTACCGTAACTATGCTATATAAGTGGTGGTGGTGGAAATTCTTTTTTTTTTTTTTGGCCTTTCATTTTATTAAAAACACAAAATGAAACTAAAATTAGGAAAGATCAACTTACAATTCCTTGACAGATTTTTCAGTAATTCTATAGGAAATTCAGTGGCGGTACTAATTCTGCTGGCACTCAGCACCTGCATACTGAGTGGTTTCTTTACTGGCAGTTGTGCCAAAAAAAGAATTGATAAAAAATACATTCAATGGCTGGATGCAGTGGCTCACACCTGTAACCCCAGCTCTTTCTGAGACCGAGGAGGGAGAATCATTTGAGTCCAAGAGTTCAAGACCAGCCTGGGCAACATAGTGAGACCCTGTCTCTACAAAAAATAAAATTAGCTGGGTGTGGTGTCCCATGCCTGTAGTCTCAGCTGTTGGGGACGCTAAGGTGGGTGGATTGTTTGAGCCCCCAAGGTTGAGGCCACAGTCAGCTGTGATGGAGTCACTGCACTTCAGCCTGGGAGACGAGTGAGACCCTGCCTCAATAAAAAAATAATTTAAAATTAAATAAAAATAAACATTTGGGCTAGGCGCGGAGGCTCACGCCTGTAGTCCCAGCATTTTGGGAAGCCGAGGCAGCTGGATCACCTGAGGTCAGGAGTTCGAGACCAGCCTGGCCAACATGGTGAAACCCTGTGTCTACTAAAAATAATTAGCTGGGCATGTTGGCGAGTGCCTGTATTCCCGGCTACTCAGGAGGCTGACGCAGGAGAATGGCTTGAACCCAGGAGGTGGAGGTTGCAGTGAGCCGAGATCACGCTCACGTGCGACTCCAGCCTGGGTTTTTTTGCAAGGCTCCATCTCAAATAAATAAATAAAATACAAATTTTTTTGATGTCTAAAATACCAAGTTGTATCTCCACAAAAAGGTTTTTTTAATGCCTGAGTTTCTGGTTTGTAAAACTGAATTACATTTTTTTTAGTTTATATGCATACGGATGGTCCCACAGAAAGGTTCAACTCGCATCTCCACTTTACCATGGTGCACAAGCAATATGCATTTTTTTTTAAGTGTAATTCGAGTACCCATACAACCATTCTGTTTTCCATTTAGAATGCAGTATTCAGTAAGTTACATGACATAGTCAACTTTTTTTTATAAAATAGCCTTTGTGTTAGACGATGTTGCCCAACTTTTTTTAAGGTAAGTGTTCTGAGGACGTTTAAGTTTGGCTAGGTGCATTAAATGCATTTTCGACCTACCATGGGTTTACTGGGACATAACCCCATGGTTCAATAGAGGAGCATGTTATGTTCTTTATTATTTTTTTTTGACAGAGTTTTGCTCTTGTTGCCCAGGCTGGAGTGCAATGGGGCAATCTTGGCTCAACGCAACCTCTGCCTCCCGAGTTAAAGTGATTCTCCTGCCTCAGCCTCCCCTCTAGCTGAGATTTCAGGTTTTTTTCACCACGCCCGTCTAATTTTTTTGTATTTTTAGTAGAGACGGGGTTTTTCCATGTTGGTCAGGCTAGTCTCGAACTCCTGATTTTTTTTGACCCGCCTGCGTCAGCCTCCCAAAGTGCTGGGATTTTTTTTTTGAGCCACCACGCCCAGCCTCGAGCTTGTTATTTTAATTTTTTTCCATCTCAAATCCCTGACAATCTAAAGTTGTAACAGATTTTTTTGATGTAGCCAGCCACCCAAATTCCTTTTTCACTTCCCTTTTTTTCTGAAAAGTGCGTTTACTTTTAGTAGTATTAAAACTTTTTTTTTATCAGCCTCCCTTATAGTCCGTTTTTTTTTCTCCTGTTTTTTTTGTTTCTAAAAGGCAGCAGGAGTAGCCCTGTAATCAGCTTTTTTTCTTAGGCAAGGCCATGAACACGCCTCGGCCTGTTTCCTTAACTGAAAGAGAGGCATTAGACGGTCTCTAAGGTCCTGGAACTTTTTTTCGCTGTCGCTGGGCGTTCATTTGAAAAACAAAAGCGGTTTTTTTAGCACGCCTGGCGGTCCCTGCTCCGGGAGTGCAACCTGCATATGTGCAGCACAAAGCCGCTCCCTTCCGGCCCCCACAGCTTTTTTTTAGTCCCCATCCCTCCAACTTCCTTTCTGCCATAAATTTTTTTTTGTGTGGGAGGTGAAATCTGCCTGAAGAAGGCTAGGATGGACAAAGCACAGTATTCCAAAATTTAGGGTCCAAATCAGAACCTTTTTTTTCGCGGCTCCTAAAGCCAATGGGGTCCGGGGCAGCCCTTTTTTTTCCGGGAGAACCGGACTCTGAGATTCTGGAACGGCCATTTTTTTACCCGCTTCCCTGAAAAACACGGAAGACACATGAAAACCACGGGATCACCTGGGCAAACCTCAAGAGACACTAGAGAACTGCGGGGCGGAGAAGGCGAAGCAAGGACTTCCGGGGTGGGGCTACGGCCGGGGCGCAGGGGTTGGCGGGCAGGGCCCCCGCCTCCAGCGACGCATCCACCCACCCCTGGGTCCGGCTCTCCGGTTATCCTCGCTCCGCCGAGCTGGAGAGGCCGGGGACGCCCGGGAGCTCACAGGCGGGCGTGGCGGTGCTCGCGTTCTCTATTCGGGATCCTAGGGCAGGGCCAGCGAGAGGCCAAGTGTTGTGGCCTCTGTGACCCTCGCGTCTTTTTTTAACGCGGTGGAGCTGCAGGAGTTCCCGGCTCCTTCAGGCCCCGCCCAGCTCGCTCAGGCCCCGCCCCCGGGAATAGGCTTTTTTTTTTACGCGCGAGGGCTGGAGCGGGTGCAGGTCTAGCTCACTTTTTTTACGTAGGTCTCACGTAGGATCGCTGCCAGGGGTTACCTTTTTTTAGATACGGAGGGCGAAATGGGTTACCTTCTGCTCCTTTTTTTTTAGATACAATTCCCTATGAAAGCTAATCACAGCATGGATTTTTTTGCCGTTTGTAGTTCCTGATAGTAGATATCTCCTATCCTTTTTTTGGGAATGAACCAATCCAGAGAGTCGCCATAGTGCCTGTTTTTTTGTAAACCTACAATAAATGGTATCTATAGCTTTAATTATTTTTTCTAGCATTACCTATTACTATATTACAGTACTATTTTAGTTTTTTTTAATCAGATTCAAGATACATGTTTTTGTTTTTGTTTTTTTTTTTGTCTCGCTCTGTCCCCCAGGCTGGAGTGCAGTGGCGCGATCTCGGCTCATTGCAAGCTCCACCTCCTGGGTTTACGCCATTCTCCTGCCTCAGCCTCCCGAGTAGCTGGGACTACAGGCACCTGCCACCACGCCCGGCTAATTTTTTGTATTTTTAGTAGAGACGGGGTTTTTTTTTGTTAGCCAGGATGGTCTCCATCTCCTGACCTCGTGATTTTTTTGCCTTGGCCTCCCAAAGTGCTGGGGTTACAGGCCTGATTTTTTTCGCCCCGCCAAGATACATGTTTTGAAGGTAGAGCCATTTTTTTTTGTAAAATTGCTGAATGAAAGAAAGGAGCAGCTGTGTTTTTTTTCCAGCTCATTAGAGCTCTGGAGACTCAGTAAGTAAATTTTTAGGAATTTTTTTGAGCCAGTTGTTAAATACAAGCCATGAGTTTTTTTCAGTGAAGATGACAAGGGCCTCGGGCACCTGCCCAAATTTTTTTAAAAACAAAAACACAAGCCATATTACAAATTAAATTATTTTTTTTTCTAAATAAATGAGTCATACTAAGACAAAGGCAATATTTTTTTAAACTAAAAAAACTACTTACTTACAACTCCCAAATTTTTTTTTTCAGCCCGTCCTTCTCTGAACTTTAGATCTGCATATCAATGTATATTCAACATCCACTTGGTTGTCCAAAACAACCTCTCCATTTTTTTCCCTGTCAAAACAAAAGCCCTGCTCCTTCTCCATGTCTTTTTTTAGATGAGGCCTAGAGCCCTCTCTTTCCATATCCATCAGTGCAACCTGCTGGCTTTATAGCTTCTACTCAAGACATCATCATTTTTTTTTTTTCTGGTAATTACAACCATTCCCAACAGCTCTCTGTTTTTTTTCTATAGTCTGTTGTCAACACAACAGTCAATGCAGTCCATTTAAAACCTAAGTCAAGGCCGGGCGCGGTGGCTCACGCCTGTTTTTTTAGCACTTTGGAAGGCTCAGGTGGGTGGATCACAAGGTTTTTTTTTTGAGACCAGCCTGGCCAATATGGTGCAACCCCGCCTTTTTTTTAAATACAAAAGAACTAGCTGGGAGTGGTGTCGCGTGCTTTTTTTCCCAGCAACTTGGGAGGCCGAGGCAGGAGAATCGCTTTTTTTTTGAAGGTGGAGGTGGCAGTGAGCAGAGACTACATCACTTTTTTTTAGGCTGGGCATAGAGGGAGACTCCATCTCAAACAAAATTTTTTTAAACAAAAAAACCTAAGTCAAAATTATGTCAGTCCTCTGCTCACAGCCTTGCAATGGCTTCCCGTCTTATGGAGAGTGAAATTTTTTTGCTATACAGGGTGAGCAAAGTCCTGCAAGATTTGCTCCCAACAACCTCCCTCCTTCCTCTGTAGCCCTGGATCATTCTGCTTTTTTTTCACTGGCCTAACAGTGCTTAGCACACAGTAGGTGCTATTTTTTTATATTTTGAAGGAGTATATTTCATCACTGCCCCTCCATTTTTTTGGAGGCAGCATGGCATGGCGGCTAGCAGTGTGTTGTCTTTTTTTACAGTGTCTAAACGTGTGGCGGCCTTCTTGGATTTAATTTTTTTCTCTACTTACTAGCAACATGACCCTGGACGAGCTACTTTTTTTTTGTTTCCTCAACTGGCAAATGAGGACAGAAAGTGTACTTTTTTTATGGACAGGTAGGATATGAGGATGAAATAATAAGTATTTTTTTTTGATAACATCTGGAACTACACAAATGGTAGACAGTAATTTTTTTCATTAGAATGTACACTCCCACGTCCACAGGGATTTTTGTCTGCTTTTTTATTTATTTATTTTGAGACCTGTCTCTTTTGTCTTTTTTTCTGGAGTGCAGTGGCGCCATCTTGGTTCGCTGCAACCTTTTTTTCCGGGTTCAAGTGATTTTTGTGCCTCAGCTCCCAAGTTTTTTTTATTGTAGGCACACCACCACACCCGCCTACATTTTTTTTTTTTTTTAGTAGAGATGGGGTTTTGTCATGTTGGTCTTGAACTTTTTTTTTCAAGTGATCCGCCTGCCTTGGCCTCCCAAAGTGCTGAGATTACAGGCAGGAGCCACCCAGATGGGCCACATTGTTTGTCTTTTTTTTTCACTACTGTATCTTTAGTGTCTAGAACAGTGTCTGATTTTTTTTATATGGTCAGTGAATGATTTGCTGAATGAATTAAGCTTTTTTTTCACATTTCCTGCAGTATTGCAGCAGCTTCCTACCTGTTTTTTTGCCCCAGACTTCCTGAGTGTTGTGGTTTTTTAAATTTTTTTTTTATTTTTATTTTTTAATTTTAATTTTTTTTAGATGGAGTTTTTTTCTTGTTGTCCAGGCTAGAGTGCAATGGTGCAATCTTGGCTCACTGCAACCTCTGCCTCCTGGGTGCAAGCGATTCTCCTGCTTTTTTTTCCTGAGTAGCTGGAATTACAGGCCCCCGCCACCTGTTTTTTTTCTGGCTAATTTTTTTATTTTTAGTAGAGACGGGGGTTTTTTTTTGTTGGTCAGGCTAGTTTCGAACTCCTGACCTCGGGTGATCCGCTTGCATTGGTTTCCCAAAGTGTTGGGATTACAGGCATGTTTTTTTATGCCGGCCCTGATTTTTTTTTTAGACTTGAATCCAGTTTTTTTCAAACTTTAGGATCCACCAGAATCACCTAGAGGGTGTTTTTTTTTGTAAATTGCCAGGCCTCACTCTCCAAGAGTTTCTGATTTTTTTGGTGTGGTCTGGGCTATGCTTACCTATCTTGCTTATTTTTTTTTCTGTCTTTCCTTTTGTCGTCACTCTATTTCCCTTTGTTTTTTTTGTATCCATTGTGGAAAGAGGAGGAGATAAATAAGTGATTTTTTTAATAAGATCACGAGCATTATCTTAACCTGCCTTTCCTTTTTTTTCACCACGAGATTCTTCAGACACTAGACTCAGCAGAATTTTTTTTTAGGTCTCCATAACCCTGCCAGGGCAGTTGTTCCCATTTTTTTTAAGACAAACCATCAAAGTTGTTGCCAGTAGTATACTATTTTTTTACTTTACCTAAATTAGTGATTATGTTGTGTATACCTTTTTTTTTCACCCCTCCTCCCCCTCCTCAAGATTTCATGGGAATCCGTTTTTGAATAGAACTCTGAGTATCATGACTACAGGAACAAGCTTTTTTTCACTAGGGATGTCATTCTGTTTTGTTTTGTTTTTTGATTTTTTTTCTCTGTTGCCCAGGCTGGAGTGCACTGCCGTGATCTAGCCTTACTGCAAACTCCGCCTCAAGTGATTATCCTGCCTTGGCCTCCCGAGTAGCTGGAATTACAGACATGTGCCACCATGCTTGGCCGTTTTTTTTTCTTTTTAGTAGAGATGGGGTTTCACCATGTTGTCCAGGCTGGTCTTGAACTACTGACTTTGGTGATCTGCCCACCTCTTTTTTTCAAAGTGCTGGGATTACAGGCATGAGCCACTGCGCTGTTTTTTTATGGCATTCTGATTCCTGACTTCCCTGATCAGAAATCTTTTTTTCTGGATTTATTCTCATGTTACTTTGCATCTCTGTGGATTTTTTTATTTGCCGTATTCTGCAAACATGTTGTCCCCAGATAGTTTTTTTGCTACCCGAAGGTTTGTCACCATGCTGTGCACAAAGCGGGACTTCAAGTGTTATGGAGGCCCGGAAGGCCGGGTACAGTGGTTTTTTTCTGTAACCCAGCACTTTGGGAGGCCGAGGTGAGCGGATTTTTTTAGGCCAGGAGCTCGAGACCGGCCTGGTCAACGTGGTGTTTTTTTGTCTCTGCTAAAAATACAAAAATGAGCCAGGCGTGGTTTTTTTTGCCTGTAGTCCCAGCTACTCTGGAGGCTGAGGCAGGATTTTTTTCTGAACCCAGGAAGCAGAGGTTGCAGTGAGCCGAGATTTTTTTTCTGCACTCCAGCCTGGGCGATAGAACTAGACCCCAACTTTTTTTATACATAAAATAAAGTAAAAGTGTTCTGGGTTGTGTTTTTTTTTACTAAGGAGATTTGATAGGAAGGAGCACAATAAATGATTTTTTTGTGAATTTTAATACAGTACTTTAACAAACCTTTTCATTTTTTTTCTTTGGTTGTTAAAAAATTTTAGACCTTTCCTCCCATTTTTTTTTTTTTTTTTTTTTTAATACATCATTCTAACTTCCTAATTTTTTTGCTCAAAAAGGTGGGGACCAGGGCAGAGGCCAGCAGCTTTTTTTTTATTGGGATCTTATTTGCCCCAAGACCACACAGGGATGACTTCCTCAGTTTGTAGATTATAAAAACGGAGGAGGGAATCATTTTTTTCTGAATCTACCATGAGTCAGTTACAAACTTTCTCATATTTTTTTCACGGTTATCCCACAAGGTTAGAAATTGGGAACAGAATTTTTTTAGGGGAACTGAATTCGGATTTCAGGCCAGCAGTAGACAAGCAGGAAGCGGAACGAAGAATGATTTCTAAGCGCAGCTCCGCTTTTTTTTCGCCTAGTTGGCTGGGGCTACCTGCGCTGGGAGTTTCCATTTCCCTTCCCGCGACTGCACCTGCACAGACACGGGCAACGCCTTACCAGAGCAACACCTGTGTTTCTTTGGCAGCAATGAGCCTTTTTTTTGGTGGGGCTCAGGGCCCACCGCATGCTGCGTAGCGCGGGTGATTTAAACCCAGGCAGTCGGCGCCTGGGACCCGACCGGATGCTCCTTGGCGTCGCCCCGGGTCTCCGGACTCCTCTGATTGGACTTTTTTTCGTTCGGCCGCCCAATGGCGAGGAGGCGCGCGACTTCTTTTTTTTGGCAGCGCGGTCAGGGCTGACCTGGGCTTCAGCTGCAGTTTTGGGGTCCGCGACGTTGGGATCCGCGGCGATATGAGTTCTTTTTTTGGGCAGATGGCCGAGTATCCAACTATCTCCATAGACCGTTTCGACAGGGAGAACCTTAGGGCCCGCGCCTACTTCCTGTCCTTTTTTTACAAGGGTGAGTGAGCGCTGCGCGTCGCCTGTTCCTGTTTTTTTGGGGGCTGGAGAGAGGACAGGAGGGGGCCGGTCCTGGTTTTTTTAGCTGCAGCCTGTGGGAGACCAGCGAGGGGGCGGCCATTTTTTTCCTTGTCCCAGTCGGGCTCTTCAGCCTCTCAAAGGCTTTTTTTTTTTTTGGATCTGGTCAACGCGGCGTAACGGCGCCTGCTTTTTTTGCCCCGAGCCGGCTTGGTCAAGCGCTGCTATTAGGTTCACTTGGTAGCTCTGCTGGTGGCCGATGGTCAGAGATTGGCGAGTTTTTTTTCTTCCCCCAGAGCCTCGCTACCGTGTATGAAGAAAATTTTTTTCAGATCCATTTGAGAACACCCTCAAACATTGGTCAGCTTTTTTTCTGACTCAGACACACACACAACTGTGAAACAGCCCGCTTTTTTTTTCCACGAAGTGCAAGCTCCCTGGCCTTTGGATGTTCTGTCCGCATCCACTGCGAACGCTTCGTTCTGGGTTAGGATGGAGTTTTTTTTCCCTTCTAAATGGTATCAGGCAACCAGAAAAGCTACTTTTTTTTCACAGCTGGATCCTTTCACAGCTGGACCCATTTAGGTTTTTTTGTTAGAGTGTCGCTGTTAATGATATAAGCTCGAGGCTTTTTTTTCCAGGCAGAGATTGGAGCTAATTTCCAGAGTTTAAATTTTTTTTATTTCACAACCGTTGTTCATTTTCACTTCTGTTGCTCTTTTTTTTGACTTACCAGTGAAAACAGTTTTAATGTGCATTGTGTTTTTTTGCTCAGCCATTAGTGTTAATTGGAGAAAATGATAAACTTTTTTTCTGGAGTTGCTGCCTTCTGCTGTGTAGCCTTGCAGAGTTTTTTTGCAGGAAGCTCCCACTACCCTGTGGAGTCAATCAGTGTTTTTTTCCTATCTACACATGCGCAGTGGGAAAGGGTTTTAAAGTTTTTTTCAGGTATCCAAGTACAGCCTTTCCGCACAGGGTTGATTTTTTTTCCAACTATATTGTCTTGAGTGTGGAATCAATCACTTGTTTTTTTAATTGTTGAAGTTACTGCTTCTGGGAAATGTCTCTGCTTTTTTTCCCACAAAGCCACTAGTGATTTCTGCTTAAT